CAATGGGGTCTTTACCCCTGCTCCAGGGTGCAGGGGGGGGTGCTCTTGGGAGCCACTCTAATTAAAGCGCTTGCAGAGTCTCATGTGTTCAGCATCCCCCACGTCAAAATGACAGCAGAGGTACTTTAACTAAAACTCGTTCAACAAGCTGTAGTTAAAACACTCCTGCCAACTGCTCTGAAGCACAGGGACACTAAATACACATGACACCAAGGCTGCTGGAGCATGCTAATTAGCATGCTCCTGCAGACTCAATTAATTGAGTTGGCTTCGATGCATTCTAATTAGAAGTCATCAGAACAGGCGTTGAGCACATGTATAAGATAGCGTGCTAGTCATGGCAGACAGTAGAGTCCTTGGTGATTTAAAGGTGCAATACAGAGAAGAGAGTCACAAGAGCTGCATCCCTAAATACATAGAAATATAGGACCATACAGTGCAGTGGGATTTCCGGTTTAATGATGGCTCAAGAATGGGGCCTCCAACTGAAATAACTGCTGGGAAATGGGGTTCAAACCATAAATCGTTCAAGACCTGGCTTGTGCCAGAGAGAATATTACCATTAATTAGCCTCATTCATATCTCCCCAGTCTCTGGAAGGGAATGCACGATCCCTTTTCCTGACCTGTAACTGGCAAGTGCAATTCTTTTCCTTTCTAATCACAGTAATTGCTTTTCTGGACTTGCTAAATTAAGTGTTGAGCTCTTACAGCAGGTAAAGTAATTGAGAGCCACAGCTGAGCCCAGAAACTTGTTCATTAGCATTATTCACTAACCGCCTCTCAGCACTAGTGAAAGAGGTGCCAAAAAGGTCAAAAGACTTTGTGCTTGCAAAAGCCTGGCCTCCAGTGAACATCTTTCCCCTTTTGCCACGGTATAATGTCATAGCGGTTTAACATACTAGTCAAGTTGTACATTTTTGTATTTATACAAGTAAGTAAAACATTAGACTCTGTCCAAGCAGCAGTTTTTGCTGAGGTGACTAAAAATATTCAGATCGGGTTTCTTTCCTCTTCCCAAGCTAATTAGGCAGTGACAGAGGACCAAGGGCCAAAGGCCTGCTCTAGAGCCCCTGGAGCTGATGAAAAGACTCCCCCTGATTTCAGCATGCTTGGAAGCAGACCTGGCACCTGGGATCCCTCTCTCTTGTCTCCATATTGCTTGGAAATGGATGATCCTTCATATAGAGGGTGAACAGAATATGGTTCTCCATGCCCAACAGCAGAAGGATCAGTCCTCAGGAAAGCAGCTTCAGAGCCTGCTTCTCATGGTCTTGAATGTCTGTGTCCTTCATAGTTTGGTCTACTCTAGCGATCGAGTATGTGGCCTGATGTCTTGTTATTCCATCCTAGGGAGATGTGCTGGAATGTGGGACAACATGAGCTGCTGGCCTTCTTCCCCACTTGGACAGACGGTCAATGCACACTGCCCCAAATTCTTCCAAATGCTCACTGGGAAAAAAGGTAACATTAAACATCACTGTTTCAAATGAAATGTCAGATTTCGGGGGACACTTTCAGGTCAGGCTTTTCATAAAACCTACAGCTGAGCCCCCCCAGCCCTCCTCCCCACTGCAACAGCCCATTTTCCCTGTTTCTTTTTCAAAGGCCAATGACCATAACTAGGCAGTGTTTGCAGCCTGAAAGATTGTTCTGCATGGTACTAGGGCAGACCTGGAAAATGGAACAGGCTTGAAACAAAAATACAAGTAACTAGGCTCTTTTTCATTGGCCGGGCTGAGAGAAATGCAGAAATTAAACGCAGTAATGAAAAGCAGCGTAGCTGGGTCAAAGGGACTTCTCAAGGATGGAGAACACCATCCTTTTCCCAAGCAGTAGACATGGGAAAGTCAAGGAACGCTTTGTTCTATCTTTTGCCTTTTCAGGATATCGAAGGTAGACATGAGGGTAGAATTTGCTTGCAATAAACTCTAGGAATCATCAGGTTTAAGCAGGAAGTTTGGCTGCTTTTTTATTAGCCTTTTCTGCCCTTTTGCGTGGATCAACACTAACAAAATAATAGACATCGAAAACGTAGGCATTTCTGCTTAATCTGACCGTGCCCCCAAATGATAAAAGGCTGGTTTGTCTCTCTGGTTATGAAACATGGCAAAAGACCATAACTCAATGTGATCCCTTCTTTACATAAAAACACCCAGCCACTCTTTTAACAATTATTATTATTTTATGGAAGAAGGCATTCAACTACAAGGCAGATAGGAGCCAAAGTAACATAGATTCAGCATAAGAAGAAGAGGAGTATTTCATGATCTTTAAAATGCGTGCATCCTATTTCAGCTTTTTTGAAGAAAACACTGTTCAAATTATTACATTAATAAGCGGACATAGGAGCAGAAGAACATTAAGAAACTGCCTGCTAACCCCCCCAGCTCTATGTTACCATAAAGGGTAACATTTAGGAAGGTCTGAATATCTGAGGAAATCTCTTCCTGACATAACTGTAGTCAGGTCTCATGTAGTCTTTGGCCATAAAAGTAAAAGTCTCTCTTAGCTCTGGTTGGAAA